ACCTACTAAAATAAATTAACAACAATAATTGAGACTTTCCAATAAAATGAGAAAAAATAATAARGTAATTTAAGGTAACGAAGACTTATTCAACAAAAACAATACCTATTCATTACACAAATATATTTTAATCTCCATTTTAGTTATAATATACAAAATGTATAAATATAAACATTGTTGTATATTATACTTCTACAACAAATATACAACACTTATTTATACTTTATAGTTATTTACTAATTTCAATTATCATATAATTATTTAACAGAAAATTGACAAAAATTAATATGAAATAATTATAAACCTAACTAATCGTATGTACGCTTCAATGAACAGTATAGAATCCGTTAAATGTGATTACCTCCGGACCTAGTTATCAATATACCGGACTGATAGTATAAATTGAGATTAGACATTTTATTTTCAATTAAATAATTTAATCACTTGGTAAATATATTTTAACATTGTAAATTGGAATACTCCGGCATCATAGAATTAGTAAAAAATGATAAAACTTCATAGCAAATCAATATTTATTTAAATTTGGTATGAGCTCAAGTCGCTCAAGATAAATATATTTTTTAATAATATTTTGGCATATTGAATTCATTAATCAGATAAAATGGTTACAAAAATAGTGTTAGAGATTATAAACATAATTGAACAACGGATAATCAAAAGTAATATTGTTTARCACAGGGGTGTCCAACCTTTTATGAAGACTGGACCACATCATAAAGGTAGAAGTTGTTGTGGRCCACATACTTTTTTTAAATAATAATACATTCAAATTTAATGATTAAATTATATTCAATAATACAACAATACATTTTTTTATAATTTTACTATAGCGAATAATAAGCAGAAATATTTTTACAAATAATAATATTTAATTATAAGTGAACAGAAAAATATATTTTTTTATAATAAACGTGTGCGTCGGCCTTTACAGTTAATTTGATGTTTTATAATTTTATATTCTTAAAATAAATTTGTTCTCGTAATATTAATATTTTATATACAATTAATATTTAATTCATGGTTTTTATATCGAAGTAAGGGCCACATCAAAATCTACAATGGGCCACGGGTTAGACACCCTTGGTTTAACACTTTCGATAAAAGTTCAGGGTTAAGGTGATAAGTTGATAGATTTAGGTTCCATCACTGGATGGACTCTCTTGCCATATTATTCATGTAAATAAAAACTCTGTATGCTTGTTATCATATTTTCCTATTTATGTATGTATCATATATTGTTAATTACTTATCTAACTATAAAAAAAAAGTAATAAGCATATTCTGTCATATTGCATAAGTGATTCAACTATTTAACCATTATATCATTGTTGACGGGAATCTCTTATATCAGTGAGTTATATGGGCTAAATTAATAAATTAAAGATTTTGGTATTCTTGCAATCAGATTTACTTGTGAATAAAATCTCCAATGTACTATCTGCATCTTAGAATGATTGAAAAATAATAAATGATTTCCCTAATGTGTTACCACTGCTACCTAGTGTTACCTACATTAAATCATTGATGAAATACCTYCTATATTCTACATAACAATTAATCAATCGGTTACCTGCAACTATAAWTTTTTTATGATATAACTACAATCTGATTTTTTTATTTAAAACGTTTTTCGTGTTTCCTGAAAGCTATACTTTTTTTACATACCTAGTAGGTTTATTTCCGATAACGTCGGCGATATAATAATACATCCCCTAGTGTATTAATAAAAATTTAAAAAAATTTATTAAGGTTAATCTTCAAAGATTTCTTTCATATTTCTTCAATAATATAATGTTTAAACAAGATATGGCTCGCTTGAAAAAAGTTTTATGATAGGTAAATTAACTCTAAATATCAAAACTAATTGCACTTTATTTAAAATACAGAACTAAACTTAGCATTTTCATACATTCGTAAGATGGAAGCGACAAACACATGATTAGCATCATCTTAGCTTACGCTTGAAGAACGTGAAAAAAAACTAAAATACTTCCCTTCTGTTGTTCAGAATTTAAAATTTACGAAGTTGTGATTTATATACCTAATTAACCTTTTTTTCTATTATGTACGACATTTAACCAAATGTTTTTAAAACTAACAGTACCTACTAGATATAATCAAAATGTTTACATCAATAAAATATAACTTGTTTACTTTAACTGCTTTTAGACTTAAATTCTATTCAAATATTAGTAATTGGTAAAGTAAAAACTATCAAATATTATTATTTATAATCAAATGAGAAAAAAACACTTTCGTAGGTAACTTATAAAAACAGATTAATTTTAAGAGGATTTCTTATTATATCCAAACGGGTTGTATCCTTCGATGTGTTCGTTATCCAAACAAGTTGTCAAATGTCATTCAAACAAAMTCTAAAAAAAAGTTTAATATTACCCAAACATGTATCCTCAACAGCTTATGTATCGAAACCCCTCTACTATTGACAGCTTCCACTCAACCCCTCATTATTACAATGTAGTCATATTTTATTTTATTTGTAGGATATAATAAAATATATGTCTATATCATGATACACAATAACTTTTTCCATTCATAAATAAAAATTATAATGTAGTTGTTTTGCAATAATTATGGACCGTACTTAAAACGCACGTGAATGTGGTGCAATACGAACTTTCAATGAAACTGTAATAAAAACAAATTGTTATCATATTTTATACAATGCGTGTAGGAAGACGATGTTTTCATATAAATTTCATRATATTTTTAAAAAAATTTTCACAATCGGCAACATTCATATAATATACCTATTACTATATTGGTGCCTCTATACATTATTATGAATGAAAAATATTACGCCTGCACAACAATATTATTCAACGTACGAGGATCATATCTGCCTACAGCCGACGGCGCTCAGCAATATATTTTAATGTACGCACGCAAACAAAAAACACCCGCCACATATCATATTATTATATTACTCGTTCGGCCCCGGCGGTGCAGGTGTCACACACATCACAGATTACTTATACCATTGATTTTTAAAACAAACAGATAAGCCATGATATTATTATGAAGAGCTATTCGACTACCAAACTGCCCGATCTCACGTATCCACATTATGTACATTGATCTGCCACTCCTTGACAACTGCACACCATCACCGCACCCGTCAGATCTCTACACTAAATATTATAATGGTAGGGTATAAGTGTATAATACCTATATCATATACTACAATGTTGACAGCGGTGAAAGAAATTATCTGTGTGTAGCCACCGCCGAACTGAGTATACAAGAATCAATAATTACACTTAATATGATAAATATCGAACAACTGTATAAATATGGAAATAACGAAATACAAAATAAAATATATATTATACGAATACGACGTTTGAGGCGTTTCTCAAGCATCCAAAATCCTCATTCATAAATAGTGTTGTTTGGGCGACTGATACTATTATTTAAAAACCTGATACACCAGTATAATATGCCATTGTATGAGGTTAATTTGCATCAAACAAAATACTTATTACCTATAATAAATATTTTAATTATTATTGTTGTTGTTATTATTTGTACGCGCTATTATACTAATATACACGTCATAGTATTATGTCTAACTACAGAGATAGCAGTAATTGATATTTACGACAAATATTAATTTAGTTTAATTTAAATACACACGGCTGGCGACAGTCGTGGGAACCCGTCGTCAAACGACCAGTGTATATACATATAGTTGCCGTACCCCCACCCCGTCGTCCCCATAAACACGATATRTATTGCAATCGTGGATAGAGTCTGCAATTTGACGAGAACTATAAAAAAAATATGTTTTTTTATAAAATATATATTGTATAAGTATAATAATATATAGGTACCGCGCGTGTAAATGCGTGCCACATAAACCGCGCACATATCGCGTACGTCATTTACACGGCGTCAAACACGTCACAAACGCCGTGCATAAGCATAATCATATTATAACGCTCGATTATCGCAGCAATAAAATTAAAATAAAAAAAAAAAAAATGGAATTAAATATGTCTAAAAAAGTCGTCACGAGCAAAGTTCGTATCCGACGGCCGTCGTCGTAAATGATGCATATACATCTGCGATACTAAAATAATGTACAGCCGTTATTGTTATATTGCCGTGTGTACTTGCCTTCATCATATAATATAGTGTAGTATAATTATTATTATTGGTGTCCCTATACGGATTCATTACCATCACGTCACGACAGGCGTCGGAAAAACGATTATATTGCTTCGTACTCTATACATATGCGTAAAATGGTCGGAATAAAATTCGAATTGGACTTGAAATGAAACAATTACAAAGGCGCCCGTTGAAGGGGGGGACTAAATGGACCATTACCCGCCTGGAATTTTGTAAACTGTATAATATAATGTAATTTAATGATAAATGGGGCATATTAACATATAGTTTATAAAATTCCATAAATTAAAGTGTCTTGGTATACTATAATTATTAGAAAACTAAAGATTATAGGTACCTATATACCAAATTAAATACTAATTTTCTCACTTAATTTTAATCTCGTTCCAAGTGGAATTTTATTTTACCGGCGCGTTTATCATTAAATTACATTATATTATACAGTTTACAAAATTCCATAAATTAAAGTGTCTTGGTATACTATAATTATTAGAAAACTAAAGATTATAGGTACCTATATACCAAATTAAATACTAATTTTCTCACTTAATTTTAATCTCGTTCCAAGTGGAATTTTATTTTACCGGCGCGTTTGAACAATATTATTATATGATTGAAATTTGAATTGAAATTTTATTTGAAATCGATTTTCTGACCACGTTTGGACCTTGGTATATAGCAGTGCACATATAAAATATATATATGCCGTACATAATATTAAATACATAATTAACATCACGACGACAACTCCGTGGCCGTGAGGAGATATCGGTACAATTATTACTGCAGCGATAAAATATTTCTAGAAAAAAATTACACGTTACCTCGATCGCGGTGGTCAATAGCATCAACATAGTGATGATCGCAAGCGCGAACTTGGACGGCCCGGACGACGACTGCTGTCTTGAACGTCGGCGCGACGGCCGTGAACGCTCGGTGGGTGATGGGTCGTCGGTTTTGTAATCGTCGTGAATCTCGCAATGGCAAAAAGTTGGACGACTTTGCGGCGCCGTCGTCCACCCGGTCCATCTTGGCCGCCATACCCACTTGCTGCTGCTGGTAGCGGTGATCGTGGTGGCGGTGGTGGTCATAGCGGCTGCGGCGTCCATGTCGGGCGCCAGCGGTGCCCGTCGGCGGCTTAGCGGATAATCGGCGAGCGCGTCAACGGCAACGAAGAGATCGCCGTCCCGCCGGTGGGCTCCTCTGCGGC